CTGCAATGTTTGAATCACACAGACTCCAAAGAAACACTTGAAAAATAATTATCCCCATTGTATTTATTTAATTAGTTCTAAATTCATATTATCTTTCAGGCTTTGACTATCTTCTAAGACATACAGGCCAAACTTGAAACAACAGTGCCTAATTTTTCAAACCATGCACTTTCAAAGAGCTAGTTAGTGTAACGAAGGAAATAAATATCTTGAGCTGAGATATAGCCACAAGATCTCCTTTTCTTCACTCTCTCATTTGTTTGCCCAGCAGTTCCTGTAAGAAACACCAGTTTTGAGACACCAGTTAACACACCTCTTTGTGTTTTTAAATGACACAATTAGAGTTTGCCTCAAATACTTCACCATCTTGCTCCAGCACTAATGCTAATGCTCTGAAATGAACTTCCTGTCAGCCTACAGCTCTTTTTCTCTTTCTTTCCATTAAAATAAAAATAAAACTTAAAAAAGTTTAGAGGAAGGGGAAGGGCCATCATGGGACATATTAATATTGTTCCTTCTGCAGGCGTGGTTTCATGCCTAGGCTTAACCCTGTTCAGCAGTTGAAGCATTTAATATTTTTATTTAATCTGAAAACCTTATAAACGCATTTGGACCTAGATTCATGGAAATATTGGGCTGGAAAAGAGCGTTTTGCTCATCCCTCTGCCTCCTGGCAGACTATATCTACATCATTTTTATCATATCTTTCTGGCCATCTGTGGGAATGAAGCAACCTCTGTGCCTGGTATTACCACATATTCCTCAAAAATATGGCCAAATTTGACACACAGGAACCTCAGACTGCAAATGGAATCTGTGTCAAACAACCACACCTTACAAGTGTGTGGCACAAGGGATTTAGGAGACTTATTTAGGAAATTCAGGCACACTAACAACTTGAGCATTACCCCCCTGAGCACTCGACACAGCTCACACTTCTCAATTAGCAGCAGAAGGAGTATTTCATTCAGCCTTCTCCACATCCTTGCATTTTCAAGTTTACTCTGCTAAATACCTTAAAAGCAGAAATACCTCCTACATGGCAGCTCCCCGGCTTCTGCCTTCCTTTTCTGCTCCATCAATCTCTGCAGTAATGGTTTCACTGAAATCATGCAGAGTCCTTTGTTTCCATCCATCTCATTACTCTTTTCTGTAGATGTCACATTTATGCCCTCTTTTGTCAAGACAACTACAAGACCAACCTCTGTGCCTTTCCCACTCTAAATGACTTGGGACTCCAGAGATCTTTTTATAGAAGCTTTGACACATTATTCATAGAATGTCCTGTGTTGGAAAGGACCTTAAAGATCATCTAGTTTCAACCCTCCTGCTGTGGGCAGGGCTGCCAACCAATAGACCAGGCTGCCCAGAGTCACATCCACTCTTCTTCAGAGCCCAGTTTACAGTAACAGAGCCCAGTTTAAACTGTTTCTATATTACAAGGCAGTTCTGAATCCAGTTAGGCTGGAAGCTCTCTTCCCATGTACAATCTGATGTCCTTTCGTCATCATCAGAACCTCATGTTGTTTCTAAGAGACCTTCCATCTCTCTCCGTATCTTCCCACCTTGTTTATCACTGATCCATCAGTTTCTTTCTGTGTAACTTTCTTTACTTATTTCCCTGACTGGGGGAATGCAGTGTTCTGACTGGGAATATGCAGTGGGTGGAAGAATGCAATACAAAGGTCAGCCAAAATTCATTTTAGACCAAAGTGCTGAAATCAGAGGGTTTGTGTGCTTTTTATTTCTCTTTCTTCCTTTCTTTTCCCATAAAAAATGTCCTGGCTGCTAAATCAAAATTTCATGGATTTGGCTTCATGCTATGTGAAGAGAGAAACCACCTCCCTTCTCCTTCAGACTCTCCATGTTTTTCCTAGTAGTTAGCACAAATTAACATTGGATTACATTGTTTTGTAAGCTCAGAAGGTAGTGCAGCAACTCACATAGAGCCAACAAATATTCAGTCTTACATTAGCTATCCTACACTATTTATCTTGGTACCACTGCGGGGTATGATCAGTAGGAACCATGAAGTATTCATACCTCAGCAGAGGTTTCCTAAACAAGTTGAGCCATGCAGAGTGCAAAGAAGATAGTACACACAGAATCATAGAATCTTTAACGTTGAAAAAGACCACTAAAATCATCCAATCCAACCATCAAACCATCAACATCTCACCAGACAGAAAAAATTTCAGTTATGCACTTGGATATCCAAGGGCAGAATGAGAGGTAGTCCTGGTACATTCTCAAAATTCAGAAGAGTTTAGCTCAGAAGTGATGTCACCTCTGTACAGCAAATTAGCCAGTAATTGCAAAGGTACAACAGTGATTGTTTGCTTTACTCAAAAGAGATCCCTTTTACTCTGATCAGAAAAGTTCCAGAAAAATCATGGAGATGTTTTGCTCCAGAGATGACAAAAGATGCGGTAAAGGCAGTAATCAGGTACCACCCTTTCCTTCCCACAGTCCCAAAGGTAAAATAAACTCTTTTTCTGAGGTGAAAGTATAGCTGTTGTTTAATATACATACAGCTGCAGAACCAGATCTTTCAGAGAGGTTGTGCAGGTAGGAACTGCATTATCAATATCACTGAAATTTTTAAAAGAATTGTAGATATTTCCTAAAAGGAATAATCTCTTAGGCTCACATCAGTATCATGGTCCTGGTCTCAGGGTGGATATTAGGAAAAACTTTTTCTCTGAATGAATGGTCAAACAAAGGAGCAGGCTGCCCAGGGAGGTGGTGGAGTCTGTCCCTGGAGGTGTTCAAGAAACATGGAGATGTGGTACCTAGCAATGTGCTTTAGTGCACAGTGTTGGTGGTAGGTAGACCACTGGATGATATTAATGGCATTTTCCAACCTTAATGATTCAATGGTTCTGTGATTCCTCAGGTAGAAATTTATGGTCACATAGGCTACATAAATACGGGTACATCCACTGACCCTGATGCACTAGAGCTACCCTTCCCTCTTCTCTTTGCCCTTAACAAACAGTCAGAAGTTGGGATCCATTTTAGGGCCGGATCTACTTGATGTTTTTGTAAATGGCTGTGAAAAAAAAAAAAAAATCATTGATATTTTTATTTAACTTCCTATGGGTCTTATGGGCTACAGTTGCCCTGACGAATACCCTCCCCTTGTATGAAGGGGAGGAGGAGACGGGGGAGCTGAAAGCAGAAGCCAGAGGATGCATGTTCTCTACTATTTCAGCAGTATTATACATCAAAACATAAAAAACAAGTGTCACAGCTCTGTTGCAGAAAGCTATGGTGGGAGGGGGAAATCTAGCTAAATTCAGTTCTTAATATGTGCACAGCGATTCAAGACAAATAACAGCGACTCCTGCATTGGCATTTTTCTCTCTTGTTTCCATGGATAAGCAGGGTACAACCTTGCCTAAATCCCATTCACAAGCTAGAACAAATCTCTCTAAGCCTCAGCTGCTCCTTATTTTCTCAGTGTACCAAGTTCAAAATGCCAGCTCTTTTCTCTCAGATGGATTCTTCCCTCACCGCAGTCCTGATGTGTACTACAAGCTCACCAGCACAAAGAAGCTCCGCAGAAAATTCAAACTGTTACATCAAAGGACTCCTCAAAATTAAAGGCTTCAATCCAAGTGGAAAATTATCCAAGTGTAAGTTTACTTTTGAAGCAAGATTGAAGTTATGCATGTATTATTAGTATACTTGTGCCAGAGCAAAACTGCAATGTCTGCCAACTTCATAAAGTCACTGTAGCCTTACACTTGTTTGCAACTAGTCCTGCTAATAGCTTTTCTCATATATTTTTCTTCATTAAAGTAACAGAATTCAAGTCACATACCTGATCAGTTTATTTAGGTTGCCAGCTAAATTTCGCTGACAAAAAGACACATGAATATCACAGTAAGATTACTACTATTTCCTGGTCGCTCCTGAGGACAGAATTTGGACTGAAGTGTTTAATTACTACATAAACACGGACAATGCATACATCTACCAAACTGAAGAAGAACATTATTACAAGTCCAATGCTATGGGTACATTTCTTTAAGAGATTCTTCTCCCAAAGAACACCAGAATAACTCCACAAAACAATTACGTAACAAAAGTTCTACAGACAATTTGCTTTGAGAATATATTGCTCTTGATACCTGTGCTCCTGAAACGAATGCATTAAATACATCTTCTCAGATCAAGTGTGTTTTATAATAGTGAAACATTCCTTATGCTTACTGAGATGGGCTATGTTTATTATTTTATTCCAGAAAACATCTGGTACAGTGACATAAGGGGGACTTCCTGCTTGCACTTCCTGCCCTGGATGTGTATTTTCTCTGGAGTGAATTATCTAGATGTGATGGCAGAATAGTGCTTGTGTTTGATTTAGAGCTACAGTTTCGGTTATGTTTGCTACAGTCTTCTATTCGATCTCAGCTTGGATATTAGGAAAAATTCTCGCAAAGAACAGTGAGGCATTGGAACAGACTGCCCAGGGAGGCTCTGGATTCTTCTTCTCTGGAGATAGTCAACACCTGCCTAGATTCCTTCGTGTGCAGCCTGCTGTAGGGGGCCTGCTTTGCAGGAGGGCTGGACTTGATGATCTCTGGAGGTCCCTTCCAGCCTCTACAATTCTGTGATTCTTTCACATGCCTCATGCAAGGAAAGAAATAGAGGTTTCCATGCAAGGCCCTATCCCTATAGGCAGAGCTGTGCCTGTGTGTTCACAGAATCATAGAATGGCTTGGGTTGGAAGGCGGCCTCAAGGATCATCAAATTCCAGTGACCCTGCCACAGGCAGGGTTGCCAGTGGTTAGATCAAGTACTAGATCAGAATGCCTAAGGCCCCTCCAAACTGGCCTTAAACACCTCCAAGGATGGGACATCCACAACATCCCTGGGCAACTTGTTCCAACACCTGACCACAAAGTAAAAAAAATTCCCCCTGACAGTGTGGAGGATTCAGTAAGGAATTGAATCATGTCCCCTGCCCCATTTTCCTTTCATTCTTCTTCCAGGGGAGTCAGTGCCTACCCTTGTGATGATTTCCTTATTCAGAGGGAGCTACTTTCTCTGATTTCATGTGCTCAATAGGTAAGATGAATCTTCCTGGGATAGAGTCTGTGCCAGACACTGTCACTACAGCACAGCAGTATCACATCAACTGTTTGGAAGAATATGACATCCAGAAATGTTCAGTGGGGAAAAAGATAGCACATGGTACTCAAACAGTTCAGAAAGAGATTCAAACTGGCCAGTGTGCTGGACAGGAAACTTATCGTGTAGCCTGTTCAGTGAGCAGCTACCCTGAGGCAATCAAGTGGGAATAAAACATTAGGAACTGACTAGAAATCTGAAGTTCCACCTGTCATTGCAGTCAGCTATCTCAGCCAATATAGACACTGTTCTGTAAGATTTTCTTCTTAACTTGTCTATCTACAGATTCTCAAATTACTAGCAGGAAGGCACATACTTCTCCTGAAGTATAGGTAAAAGCCAAATAAAAAGAGCTGTAATAAACAGAGACTGCAAATTTGGAGTTGTTATTGATGGTGAGAAACTTAAGTTTGCTTCTTTCCTTGGCATAAGGTGAATGAAAGCCACATAATATAATTTCAGATACTGATGCTTCATTCCAGACTTTTCATGTTGAAGTGATCTTGAATAAGTGTGCTTCAGTGAGTCAAATGCAGAGTGAATCTGTGGTTCAATGTTATGAGGAGTCACTTTTGGTGCTGGAAAAATCTGATTTTTCTCCCTATTTTGGGAAGTGTTTCTAGATTTTATCCAGTATATTTCATATTTCCCCGCTGTCATTTATTGTTAAGAAAGTTTAACAAAAATGTTAGCCTACAACGTCTGGCCCAGAAGATCAGTGAGGAGCTGGTAACCAGTGAGATCCATTTCTCTCACTTTCCTAGCTGAGGTCCCAGTCTTGCTACACAGGAGCAAATGCATCAGTTTCATTATCCCTTTCTGGCCACATTCTCTCCTGTGAGTAAGGGTTTATCTTCTTTCTGCCCTGACATATATACTATAAGGCTGGCCACTGTAGGTCATTAAGGTCCTACTAAATACAAGCTGAACAGTTTGAGTGTATGAAATGAAGCTAATACTGTTGGAACCAGCAGTGCATGGGCACACATGTCCCTCTGGTCCCAAAAGCAAAAGCACAGTCACCCCTAAATAACTGAAATTGCAACACTGAAACTTCCAATCTAGACTCCGGTCTGCTAACATCTTACTTGGGAGCTGTCACTATGCCATGAAGAACCCTGGCCTATCCAGAAATACGAACTTGGAAGACTTCCTTTTTCCTTAACATCAACTTATCTCTATTTCTACTTCCAAATCAGTAACGTTTTTGTTACTTCTGCTATAACTCTTTCCTATACACATTGTAAACTTACCAGGATAACTTTTTTTTATTCATCTGTACACTATCGCATCCTCAGCTCCTGGTCAGAGCAATAGTAATTATGGAAAGGGCCCTTCTCCTGTCATGTTTGTTGATAGTTACGATCTGCTAAGTACAGAAATCTTGTTATTGCCTCATTGCATTCAAATGAATGCCTTTAATACCCAGTGTAGGATGTTCCAATCATCCCTATAGGTGCCTCTCTTTGATGCCGTATCAAATTATTTCCTTTAGCAGTTTGTTGTCTCACAACCGTGGATGAAAACTATCTGAATTTTTCACCATTGTAACTGCCTTATTTATTCTAGGAGATTATGTCAGTGTAGCAGTAATTTTTGTAAAATATATATTTTCTACAAAAAAAAAAAAAAATCTGACACATTTGTGTTTTCTTGTTTTCTAGCTCATTACCAATGCAAATAAGATGCAAAGCTTTTTTTTAAGCGCAGGTATCCAAGCAGACAGTACTAATGAAATATAAATCACAAAAATTATGCAGGGAAATGTACAATTTCTCTAAAAAAAGTTCTCCTCTGCTCCTGGAGAAGTAGAGACATCTCCTGATAGAAGAGTCCCCGGGCCTTGGGCAGAATGGGGCAGAATTTCCCCATTCTCAGTCATTTACCAGTTGGATTTTTTTTTGTATTTGCAGGTTTTTAGGTCTTTTAGTTATTTCCTATGCATATGCTCTTACTGTATTGTTGTATCTTTTGAAGATAAGCAGGGCATTTGTGCTTCACAGTGATCAGGAAATGGAAATACACTTCTTATTAATTAAAGCCATGTAAATTAAGAGATACAGTGGTTGAAAAGCATCCCCAAATAGGTCAAATGTGATATGGAAACGACCATTCACAAAAACTGTGAAAATGTTGCATGGAGTTTATCACCTGCAAATCTCAGAGCTCTTTACAGCTCAGATGAATATCAACACGTTCATTTTGGAGATAAGTGAACCCTACGTCTTCACCACACAGCACCTCGCTGATGGGGTGAGAGAGACAAGGCACAGCTATGTGAAATCTACACAATTTCCCTTTCATCTGGCCCTGAATACATCCTTTACATACTTCTTCCATTTAGCATTTCTTCCCCAAAAGAGTAGACGGAGGAAAGCAGTTTTACATATAGCTGGAAATAAAAATATCTCAAAATGGGAAGACACAATTCTACCCCAGCAAGCTGTTCCAAAGCAGTGGTGTTGCTGTAAGGTGTTACTTTACAAAGTGGAGAAATTATCCACTGCTAAAACAGCGGTGCTTAATTTGAAAAGCAACCTGGGTTCATTCCCCGCACATCATCAAAGTTAATTAATTATCTCTACTGCTGGATATAATCTGGTAGGTGATAACAAATTAAAAACCTCCTCCAGGCATGATAAATCCAATGAACATAATGAACACAAACAAGCAATAATACAAAAATCACTATGTAATTGCCAATATCTTCCTTTCAGTCATGCCTACTACTAGGCGTCCCTCTGGTTTGGATTCAAGCATAGGCTTGAAGTATGGAGAATAACATGGCAGAACAGATACAGACCCAACGACTGTCTTCTGTTGTCATCATGTATGTGATTCATTTCCATCTGAGAGCTGGAGATGGCACACGAATAGCTCTGCAAAGGAACTGTTCATCCACTCTCAGCTGTATGTGCTTGTGATCACAGAATCGAGGTATTGACTAGTTTTACAAATGCAGGTTTTGGATATTCATAGAATCATAGATTCAAACAGTCATAGACTCATAAAGTCATAGAATGGCTTCAGTTGAAAGGGATCTCAAAGGGCATCAAGTTCCAAGCCCCTGCCTTATGCAGGACTGCCAACCACTAAATCAGGCACTAGATCATGTTGCACAGGGTTCCATTCAACCTGGCCTTGAACACCTCTAGGAAGGCAGCATCAAGTGATGGTTCACATCACTGTATGGATTTTTGCTTCATTTTCTGTTTCAGTAATCATTTTCTGAAGGTTTAGGCAAAGACCGACATTCTGCTTATGCAAATCTTGGTCAGTAAAATGGGAAGCAAAATGAGATTTTTCAGCTAAGTTTTTAAACTTAGATCCATGAACATACATGTAAGAAGCTAAGAGCAGCTCTGAGAGAGCAGCTATTCTGACAAAATCCCAGAAGCCAGTTAATATTTCATCTCCTTTCCAGGCTGCTACAGAGCTGGCTAAGCTTTGTAATTAAAAGATAATTAGAGAAGAAACCAAACAGTTACCGTCAAAAGTTATATTCACCACATCACCTTGTTTGCAACAAAATGGAAGGATATAGAGAGACTAACCTGGAAAAGATCCAAAGGAGGAAAAACAAGAACTTGCCATGCTGAGAAACTAAGCTGCTGAGGCTTTCCTTCCTTCCACCTCTCCTTCCTTGTCTCTCCCCTTAAGCTTTTCTTTTGAGGCCCTGCACCTCTGATGTGCTGCTGAGGTGCACAGTGCATCCGTGAGAAGCTGAGAGCCAACTGACTTTCTTTGAAAGGAAGCACACTTGTGGCAGAAAGAAAAAAAAGAGTTATCTCCGCCCTGGCTTTGTAACAATGCTCTCTTCATATCAGTCTTTGCTGTGCAAAAAAAAAAAAAGAAAGAAAGAAAGAAAGAAAAACAAGAAAAATTTTGTCCAATGTGTCAAAGCAATTACAAACAGTCTGAGCAGAAGGAGAGATCTGAAATGCAGTGTGGATGTTCAGGAGGAAGATCTAAATCCTTTCTGGTAAGGCTTTGGAAAAAATCCCAATGGATGTGTAGAACAGGCGAGAAAGTCTTACTAAGCTTTGCATTGCCTATGTCTGTGCAACTGGGGCATCATCTTAAAGTGGTCAGACTTTCAGCTCAGAAATGTGACTTGCTTCATTCATCATGTGCCCTAGGGGTTGGCCAAAAAGTCATGAGAGGAAACCAATGAGTGCAGCACGGCTTAAGGAGCTCAGAGAAAGTGAGGACTGGTGGATACCAAAGTCTCATGATTAGCCTAGACACCAAAAAAGTAACAGAAGTGTCGGCCCAGAGGCTGGCCTGAGATCCAGATTTGAGTGATGTTGGGTGTTCAGCAATAGGCTGCCTTAGGAGGCCCTCTGACACCTTCAGCTGAATGCAGTTCTGTCCCACTGCAACCAAGGGGGACAGGAACCTCCTTGGTGCAGGTGCTCCTTTTGGTCCTTCCATTGGGCTCCTAGCATGCATTTCCTGGAAACCCCCAAATGCTGCATGGGCTCAGCTGGGATGTGGAGTCCTTTTCTAGAAAAGAAAGGATAAAAAGGAGAGGAGAGGAGAGGAGAGGAGAGGAGAGGAGAGGAGAGGAAAGGAGAGGAGAGGAGAGGAGAGGAGAGGAGAGGAGAGGAGAGGAGAGGAGAGGAGAGGAGAGGAGAGGAGAGGAGAGGAGAGGAGAGGAGAGGAGAGGAGAGGAGAGGAGAGGAGAGGAGAGGAGAGGAGAGGAGAGGAGAGGAGAGGAGAGGAGAGGAGAGGAGAGGAGAGGAGAGGAGAGGAGAGGAGAGGAGAGGAGAGGAGAGGAGAGGAGAGGAGAGGAGAGGAGAGGAGAGGAGAGGAGAGGAGAGGAGAGGAGAGGAGAGGAGAGGAGGACAACCTCAGGATCTCAAGGATTTGCCTGTTTAAAAATATGAAAGTCAGAACATTGCTCTATTCACCGTACGTAGTTCTACTTCTTCCTTCCCAACATTTCTTTTTTCTTTTTAATAGCAAGTTCAGTGAAACTTTCTCTCTTCCTGCTCTGGTAGCCTTACTAAATAACCCGCTATTAGCATGATTCAATTAAGTGGCTTTCAGCTGCTGGAGTCATTTTCTTTGCCACTGTTATTTCATTTGTGAGAATTTTAAAAAGGGTCCATAAAAAGCTTTCTGTTCCTGAAAGTATCGCATTACTGGAGACTAGGGAAAAGTACAGCTGGAAAGTGAGCTGCAACGCTTTTACAAGGTTTCATTAAAAAGGATCTGGTTACACCCAAGAGTTTAACTCCATTATCATTCAGCATCCGTGCAGGGAACAGAACCAAGGCCAGGCAGTCAGGCGGAGCTTTTGAGCCCCCTTTTTCAGGAGAACTCACAACACTGTGCAGCAGAGGAGAGATGGAGATGGGTCACCAGTCTTTACTGCTCAAGTCTGCTTTAAAACTTAGCAGAGTTGGTCTGTTGAATATTACACATTTGATCCAAAATTATTTACTCAGATAATGAGATATATTAACAGTTGTAAAACTGAACTTCTATCTCTTACTACGTACTGCTGATGCCACAAAACACCTAAATACATCAAAGAACCTAGCAGGGGAAAATATTTTCCCCCCTATTTTTCCCCAGTTTGTTTACATGGTGTTGAATAACACTCTGGTTATAATCAGTTTTCATTGTTTTTCTCTTTTTCCCCTCTTCTGTGTGTCACACGATGTCACCAGGGAGAAAACAACACTTTTTAAAGGCAGGAAAATGTGATTCTGAAACCACAAACACTTGCAAAAGACGGCTTTAAAACCCTGCGACAGAATGAGAACTGAGAGCTGAAGCAGCACGCTGAGAACAAGCATCCCTCTGACACCGCGTCTCGGCCGGAACCGGAGCACCCAGCCTCCCATACCTGATGTCCTCTCAGCGAATGTCGGCTCCGTGCTGATCGGATGGGCGCAGCTCCGAGCAGCCTGGTTCAGCCCGGATCGGCTCAGATCGGCTTGGCACGGCTAGAGAGCAGATCACCTCCGTTGTGCCGCAGCCGCCCCCGCCCCGCTGCCGGAACTGCCCTCGCTGCCTCTTCCTCCTCCTTCTCGGTACCACCCGCCTCCCCACCCCTTTGCCTCCTCCTGGGCTGCTCACCGATGGAGCACTGCGTCCAGATGTAGAGTCTTCTGCACAGAAGGGACATGGACCTGGTGGCGTGCGTCCAGAAGAGGGCCACCAAAATGATCCCAGGGATGGAACACTGCCCTATGAGGACAGGCTGAGAGAGCTGGAGCTGTGCAGCCTGGAGAGAGCGGCCTTTCAGTATCTAAAAGGGGTCTACAATAAAGAAAGGGACAGACTTTAACAGAATCTGTCATGATAGCACAAGGGGAAATAGTTTCAAACTAAAAGAGGGAAGATGTAGACTGGATAGTTAGAGGGTGGTGATGCGCTGGAACACACTGCCCAGAGAGGTTGTGGATGCCCCATCCCCCTGGCAAGGGGGGTTGAAACTAGAATGTCTTTGAGGTCACTTTCAACCCAGGCCATTCTATGATTCTATGATATGATATAAGGAAAAAGTTTTTTACAATAAGGGTGGTGAGGCACTGGCACAGGTTGCCCAGAGAGGTGATGGATGTCTCATACCTGCAGACACTCAAGGTCAGGCTGGATGGGGGCTCTGAGCAACCTAATCTAGCTGTAGGTGTCCCTGTACACTACAGTGGAGTTGAACTAGATTACTTCTATGGGTCCCTTCCAATTCAAATGATTCTGTGGTTCTTCATTTATCCCATCATGTTGTGTTCTTGGCCATGGGTGTTTGAGATGTGTCTCTTCCAGACCCAACATTAGACCAGTTATTTAGATGAAATGAGGATGAAACGTGCTCATTAAGGATGAAGAGTACTCATTCAGTGCATCTCTTTTGGTATTTGAGGATATGAGATATAAATTTTGCCCAGTACATTCCTTGAGATGTACTTGAGATGAAACTTTCTCCACTCCATCATTCTTATGGCCTGCTCCTGCAGTGGAAGATTAGGTGCAATGCTGGGATTTGCTCACAAGTGGATTGAGAGAATGCAAATTGGCCTGGGAACCTGGCAGAGGAGCAACGAGAAGGAAAGGAAACCCCAGAAATGTGAACACTTTTGGAGAAGACCACCAGGAATCTCCTCATCCTACAGAAGCACAGAATCACAGAATCACAGAATCATAGGGGTTGGAAGGGACCTCCAGAGATCATCAAGTCCAACCCCCCTGCCAAAGCAGGCTCCCTACACCAGGTTGCACAAGTAGGTGTGCAGGCAGGTCTTGAATATCTCCAGAGAAGGAGATACTCTACAACCTCCCTGGGCAGCCTGTTCCAGTGCTCCACCACCACCACCATGAAGAAGTTCTTGCACAGATTTGTGCGGAACTTCCTATGCTGCAGTTTCTGGCCTTTCCCCTTGTCCTGTCTCCACACTGCTGAAAAGAGTCTGGCCACTTTGCCCTCCACACTGGGACATGCTATTATTCCTCCGTAGATGCAAGACTCTACACTTGCTTTTGTTGAACCTCATCTGGTTTTTTTCTGCCCAGCTCTCCAGCCTGTCCAGGTCTTGCTGAATGGCAGCACAGCTTGCAAGGCTACCAGGTTGGTCAAGCACGACCTCCCCCTGGTGAACCCATGCTGATTACTCCTGATAACATCCTTCTCTTCCAGTTGTCTGGAGATGGCATCCAGCACAAGCTGTTCCATCACCTTTCCAGGGACAGAGGTGAGGCTGACTGGCCTGTAATTACCTGGATCTTCCTTCTTGACCTTTCTGAAGATAAGAGTGACATTGGCATTGTATACAATGAATACAAATTCATTACACAATACATTGGGCCACCCATCTCTAAAATAGGGACAGAAAAAGACTTTAGCTCCCAGCAAGACATTTGGCCGTGCAACAAGATCTCAGAGCTGGATAAAGTCCTTGGTAGGACATCTTCTATCCTCTGCTCCAAGAAAAATTCAACATGCTCTTTCTATGGGCTTGCATTGCCCTATCTTGACCTTCCTGACTCTGACAGCATACCCCGGAGTTGTCCTTCAGTGCCAGAGAAGGACATTCCTTCACACAGAATTACAGAATCACAGAATGGCCAGGGTGGGAAGGGACCTCAAGGATCATGAAGCTCCAACCCTCCCTGCCACATGAAGGGCCACCAACCTCCCCATTTAATACCAGACCAGGCTGCCCAGGGCCCCATCCAGTCTGGCCTTGAACACCTCCAGGAACAGTACATCCACAACCTCTCTGGGCAGCCTGTTCTGGCACCTCACCACTCTCATAGTAAAGAACTTCCCTCTGACATCCAACCTAAATCTTCCCTCCTTCAACTTAAAACCATTTCCCCTTGTTCTGCCCTATTCTACCATTATCTATCCTTGTAAAGAGTTGAGTTCACATCTTTGATGTGATTTAAGTCTATTTCTTGCCCTATCCACCAGGGATGTAGAGAACAGATTTTTTCCCTTCTTTTACACAGCAGCATTTTGCATATTTAAAAACCACAGTGCTGCAGTCTGGGAGACAGCTGCCATATTAATTACCCTGCTGACACAAAGCTTCCACTGCAACACGCATCAACTGCTGTGTGCTATTATTGCCATTTAATTTGACTTGTACAACTAATCAGGCATGGCCTTCTACAACAGACGAGGCCACTCCTGTGGGTGTAGGTATTTGGAAACCAAAAGCCCTTAAAGCTGCATCTTTCTGGTGGAAAGTATCACCACAAGCCATCATGTTTTCTTTCCTGTATTTGAAAACCACCCACATTTTCAGTAAGAAAAAAAAATTAAACTGATTGAGCGCTTTGCCCAGGGAATGGGCCTTTCTGATGAGTTTCATTCTCAAAATATTTGGTGTCTGTTGTTTAGCTTGTAAGGGTTTTTATTTAAAGCTCTTCGTTGATTTAAAGGAAATGTGGGAAAAAAAATAATTAGGCAACACATTTTATCACTGCTGCAAGAGAGCAAACTGTTCCTCTTTTCCATTGCCTTCAATTCATTGAAACTTTGTTAATGAGGTAATATGCTGGGAAAAAAAAACAAAAAACAAAAAACAAAAAACAAAAAACAAAGAGGAAGAAAATATAGGAGGTGAAGTCATTTTCAGTGTGAAAAGTATACTAAAACTTTTTTTTTTTTTTTTTTTTTTTTCCTCCATCAAGTTTTCCATTTGTGCTCAAGGTGTGCATTACATGTTAGCATGAGGTTCACATTTCAGTCTGTTGTCACAGTCCTAAGAAACAGGTTTGGAAAGGGTCACAGAGGCCACTTCATCCCTTCTGCTGTGCAGTCCAGCACACCCCAAACAAGATCTGCCCGTCTTGCTGCCATACATTTCCAGCCCGGGAGCTCCCTGAATTCCTCAGAAGAGGACAGGAAATGCAGTGAGCAAATCAAACCTCTTGCAAAATGCTGTGTGACAGTACACATCCCAGGCTCTTCACCAGAAGAGGTTGGGCAATTATGGGATAATCTTTCTGCTGGGTACAGTCTGATTTCTCTTCCTTGCACATGTGTTGATTGTAGATATGCATTATCCCCAACAAGCTGTAAAGAAAAATAATAATTATTATCCCTGGATCTACAGTGTTGGTTTCCAAAAATTGTTGTTTTCAAACCAAGGACCAGCTAGACATATAAACAGGCTTGCTCCAAAAGTAATGCCTCCTATTTTTTTCCCTACCAGATACAAAAAGTACAATAACACTATTTAATAGAGCAAATTCTCAGCCACAAAACGCTTTTATTCAACACACTCACCACTGTTAGCTATGCATTTTCAACAGTGATGAGCAGGAGCCTGCACACCACACTCATAAAAGTCTGCACCAGCAGAGGTGACCCACTGTCATTGTCACCACTGCTGAAATGCACCACCCATGGCCCCACTGTGCTCATTGTTTGGTCTCCGTAAACACTCAGCAGGCATGAATGAATGTGAATGGGTGCAGTATTTTCTGCACAGAGGAATTCAATGACACGCTTTTGCTTCATATATATTTCTGTGTCAGATGCCATTTTGTCAGTCTGCCCCTCTAATGCCATCTGTTTCATGGTAACAAAATGGAATGGAATATTGGTGAGAAGGTTCAACCTCTGATGCCATATTGCCAACATTCGTCTCTGATGTCGCAGGCCAACATCATAAAATAGGAGGCATTAATAATCATTGAATTATAGAATGGCCTGGATTGAAAAGGACCACAATGATCATCCAGTTTCAACCCCCCTGCTTTGTGCAGGGTCGCCAACCATCAGACCAGGCTGCCCAGAGCCACATCCAGCCTGGCACTGAACGCTTCCAGGGATGGGGCATCCACAACCTCGTTGGACAACCTGTTCCAGTGCATCACCACCCTCTGAGTGAAAAAGTTCCTCCTAATATCTAACTGAAATCTCCCCTGTGTCAGTTTAAGACCATTCCCCCTTGTCCTATCACTATCCACCCATGTAAAAATTCATTCCTCCTCCTGTTTATAGAGTTCTTCCCTTTGAGTTCTGAAAGGCCACAGTGAGGTCTCCCTGGAACCTTGGGGAGCAGCCCCTGTAGAAAGAGAATGTAGTCAATGTCCATGAAGTTTGCTCTGTTGTAATTTGTAAAGTTTCAAAGCTTTGTCTTTGTCCCTGTTCAGTTATCTTGGAGTTGATATTATGGTTTGTCAGTGCACATGCGCTACTAGCATTTGAAATACACATTTTAAGCAGATGCATAGGATGTGTTATAAGGGCTTGCCCTCACTTGCTTGTTCCCACACTGCCTTCCTCCTGCCCATGTCCTGCCCCCCCAGCTTGCAGCTTCCTCACTTTGCTGACTCAACTGATTGCAGTGCTATGAGCCACAGTAGTGAAGTGGTCTGAATTTAAGAAAAACAAGT